GATGCCTTGGAACTAGTTAACACTGAATTGTCATTAGAAGGTGCTGGTGTTCTCGCTGCTTTCAGACGAATTTCTGTTGGTAATCTGCTACGTAAAGGAGTAGTGTGGATTTCGCCAAAACCGCACATGTACGACGAACCATTCGTTAGTCCGTGCCAGCTGGAAGGAATCCGCTGATGCCTGGGAAGGAGTTCACGCCACTTACTTCGAGTTCGATAAAGATTTTGATTGTCTGGACCACCGTATGCATCTTTACAAGCTGCGGAGCTTTGGGATCGGCGACGGTTTCCTGGGCTGGATTCATTCATCAATACTCCAGTGCCGCTAGAATGTGAGAATTTGTAGCGCCGTATCCGACCCGACCGAGTTCCACTGAAGCGTTCCTCAAGGCTAGGAACTAGGATCATAACTATTCTTATGGTCGGAATGTACCATGAGTTATGCTAACCTTCAGCTTACCGAATAGTTCCATTTCATTGTTCACAATCAACAACAGAATTCGAATTGTGGATGATGAATTCTTTTCGGGTGAAATCTCATCAGGCCCTTACGTTTTCACGGTGGACTACGTGTAGAAGTGCTGTACAGAGATAAATATTGAGCACACGCAGTTTGAACGATCGATGCAACAACAAGTCACAGCTACAGATAATGCACTCCGTCAACAAATGAAATAGTAGGCAACAATCATTCGAAAAGTAAGAAGAACGACTGTTAGAATGATAATCAAATAGTTAAGTAACGGTACTCGTTGGCAAATGTAAGAAAATAGGCCGCACATAGTTAGTTTGAGCACACAACTAAAGGTCTCAAATATCGAAAGCATATGGCGATTAGATTGTAACTGTTTGCGAGAGCATGGTGAGCAGCGTACAGGAAATGAGTAGACCACTTTGAATTTATTCTCTGATGCTGCATGACCGTATTCATGTGATACTATGGCTGTATTTAAGAGCAAGTAGAAAGGTTTCTGTACAACTCTATCGAATTACGAAGAATCAAAAACATTTAGTTGTGGATCATCAGCGGTTGTGTCTGGTCATTTAATCGTTTATCCTTGTTCGGTTAGGAATTTGTATTGGTGTTATTATTTCTGGGCATACAATGTCTTCTTTCGGCATTGTATGTGCATCGTTTCACAAAAGCACAGGTTTCCAAAATAACCGTCGACACGGGTTTTAGTACAATTCACAGAATCGGCCCCTATTAATACTTCTGGTAGTGTATTCCATAAGTTTACGATTCTTCATTCGATACAAAACTGATGTGATACTATGTTCATGCTGGGGACCCTGAATTTGTAACGGTGTCTTCGGGTGTTACAGGGTTCCTGTAGGTGAAATATTGGCCGCAGTATGTGGAAGTGATTCAAGTGTAGTACTCGATGGGTCATAATAAGGTCAATTCTTACTCGGCGGTAGGATAGTGTGTAGAGTCCGAGCCTTTCACAACGTTTTTCATACGGAAGATTTCGTGGACTCAGTATCATTTTAGTTGCTTTATGCTGCATTTTTTCCAGCTTTTCAGTTTCCCACTGGGTTATCGGATGGCAAGTTGGGACACCGTATTCAAGGTTTGGTCTAATGATCGAAGTGAATAAACGAGAGACGATTTCTTCGGAGCATGTGGAGAAACTGCGTCTTAATGACCACAGCATACGAAGTCCCGCACGGTACAATTTTTCTGTATTTTCTAGTGATCTCATATCACATTGCGAGAGAACTCCTAAGTCTCTAACAGATGTGTTGGGGTGGAGCAACTGGCCATCCAAGGTGTATGATCAAGTGGCCGGACGTCTGGTGATACTGAGGAACTCCGACTTAATG